TTAAAGCAGGTGCATAGTGTTTATAGTTCAGGGAAATGGGTGTGCTTTTTGGAAAGTGGCATTATGGTTTTGAAATTTGGGTTCACAAAATTGGTTATAGTGTTTTAGCAATCGAGAAAAACTGTAAATACACTGGCTAATGATGATGACTAGAGACCTGTGAGTACACAGCTGAACTTAATCTAACTAATGATACGTAGGAAGTGGAACAGAACATAATGCACACAAACTGATGGATAACATGATAAAACAGCAAATGTGAACATGTGGAAAAGAATCAGAGAACAAAAACAAACTGAAAACACTGGATCAACGACCGAGGAACACCGACAAGAATAACCAATGTTATTCTCCAAATTACAGCTTTAATGTTTTCTATAACTAGAGTATTTTAACCCCGCTGCCTGGCTAGCACCAATATAGCCTGCAATGTGGATGAGATTCTCTGGCCTGACCCAGAACACACACAGGATGCTGAGGTGGAATAATGTTCTTGGTGTGTGTTGTACTGTATACTACATGGATAAAAATGTGCCACTGTATATACATTGGTCGCGTCTTCTGTGTTCATCATGTGAAAAGGTTTTTGAGGGGAAGAACCACACAGCTGTAACGACCAACATCCTGATCTGTGACCTTCTTTATAACCAGAGAACAGCCTGCAGAAAGACTCAGTCTGTCTGATTTAGGTTTGGCTTCTTTAGTCTGTCCAAGTTGAAAGGTTGATACTGAGCTGTTTGATTCACTAAAGATCAGGTAGTACAGTTACAGTTACAGTTATGCTGACCTTCTATCATGTTATAAAGAAATATATGACTATGAGTGTTATGTTTATAATGTGAAGTGTATTATAAATACAACACAAGTTTAATTTTCACCTTGAGTTTCCAAGAGTCAGCTAAAGTCAAAAAGTTAATCATGACTGTCTCAGTCTCTGTTCTTGCTCTCACGTCCACAAATGAGTCTCCGAGATGAACACAGCATCAACTTCCTGCTCACTTCCTCATAGGTTCATAGTGTTTAAGCAGCCATATCGCCCTCTCTCTCTTAATGTAGATATTAAATGACTAAAAACTTTTTAAAACATTTACATTTAATATCTTCTGTAATTAATTTATTTTGCAGACTTTCCTGTCTATTTTAAAGGACTGCAGAACAGTGTAAAATGTTTGATCAACAACAGAAAAGAGAAGTTAAATGTGTGAAGACTGTTAGATGAGGTAAGTGTTGACTTTAATGCAGCTCTTCTGTGTATTTGGTTCATTATTAGAAAACAGTGTCCATGGTGATGTTTGTCTGCACACATGAAAAGAGGTCAAGATTTAAACTTATTACACATCAGAATTTGAGTTGTGATGTTCGCAATGATGACACTGCAGCAGTGACCACTGTTAGCAGCTAGATGAGATGTGTTAGTGGTCTGAGACCTGATTGTTCCTCTTTACACCTCTGAAGTCGTTTTTTTCTGATAAGTGAAGAGGAAGTGTTTAGCATTCACTGAAAAAGTTCAAACTGTACTTACCAAGAAGCTGGAAAGCCAGTCAGCTCGGTACAATAAGAAAGTTAGCCTGTTAGCATCAGAGCCCTTGAACAGCATCTACAACTTGAGCATTTTGGTTCACACTAATCTTTAAAACTAAGCGTGTACAGTCAGACATGTTATCGTCACTCGTATTCTTTTCTTTTTATGTTTTTAAAGTGTCTGAAAGCTGAAATTGAGTGTTTTTGCTGTCAAAGATGTTTTTTGAATATCACAAACAGGAAGTTTGATATCATCATAGATACAGTGATATACTCCGCTCCTTTTTTGTATTGTTAAAAATGTAATGGACCAGATTTAAACAAAAAAAAAGTTTAATAACAATATACTGTGCAGTGTGTCACTTAATATAAAGGTAAATGTCACTAGATTACAATAACAATGAAGTCTTCTTCATTTCCAGGCCATTCCTGCAGCATAACGATATAACTGACTGATAAATATACAGTCAGTTATGTTTTAAAGATTTCTTCAGTAACTACGGAGTTACATGATGTATTAACTGAGGCGAAGTAGTTCACTCAAAGTTTTTTTTGAAGACATCAAAGAAAAGATGAATTTTTAGATATATTAATGTGCTTAAGCTAGCAACACTTATGGTAAATGGCCTGTATTTGTATAGCGCTTTACTAGTCCCTAAGGACCCCAAAGTGCTTTTTTGCCCAAGGACACGACGACCGAGACTGTCCAAGCCGGGGCTCGAACCGGCAACCTTCCGATTAGGCGACCTCCCAACTCTTGAGCCACGATCGCCCCTTATGATATACTTATTAGCTGTTCAAGCATTCTGCAGGATGCAGATTACATGAAAATTACAACCAGGACTCAGCCTTGAAATTCCGCCTCCCAGCACACACCAGAACAGTGACAATGGGTTGAAAATGAACAGCAGAGCTCACGTACCATCTGCTTCTATGTTTATAAATTCAGCAAAAAGAGAGCAAAGAGATCAGTACTAACAGATCTGCTCAAACTAGTTTAAGGTTTAATACTGAAGATGAAAGAACAGGAAGTCAAACTGGAGAGAATAATCGAGACTAGTTTGTAGTCTATTATGGTTCAGGTGTGTGGGGAGTCAACTGGGAGTCTACAGTGTTCATATGTCAACACAGAGCTGTTCAGATGGTTCAGATGAGTGAAGATGGAGATATTGTAAGAGAAAAGCAACAATAGAAAAATGAACTTCATCACTGTGATCATAATTATTGTGGTGTTTCAGTTTGTTGTTCTAACAGGACAGTTTGAGCTGAAAACATTAAGATGTAAATACTCACTGTTAATAACAGACAGATCAATCATAAAGTCTGGACCTTCTTGTTGTCCTGTTGCTGTTTTGAACTGTCTGCAGTTGTAAAGACCAACATCCTGATCTGTGAAATTCTTTATAACCAGAGAACAGTTTGCAGAAAGACTCAGTCTGTCTGATTCAGGTTTGGCTTCTTTAATCTGCCCAAACTCAAAGAGTGTTACTGAACTGCTTGAATCACTGAAGATCCAGGTAGTACTGATACAGTTATGCTGACCTTGTATCAGATTTTTACAAGGCAGAGTAACATCATGTCCACGTCCAGCTGTGACAGTTTGAACAGTTTGATGTTGCTCAGTTGTTCCTGTTGAGAAAAAGAGAGAGAGAGAAATGTGAAACATCAAATATGTTATGAATGTGAGTGTTATGTTTATAATGTGAAGTTTATTTTAAATGTAACACAAGTTTAAAATTCAACTTTAGTTTCCAAGAGTCAGATAAAGTCAAAGAGTTAATCATGACTGTCTCAGTTAAAGGAAGAATAAAGAAGTAACACTTGTCTCCCCTGTGTCCAGCTGAATTAATTTATTTAATGCAGCTCAATAACCTCCCTCTCTCTCTTATATTATTTTTACTTCTAGATTTCATGTGAATTGCAGACTCACTTGTTCTCTTCTCACTTGTAGTTTTTAAGGACTGTACAGAAGTTGAAGATATCTTGATCAAAAACAGGAGAGAGGAAGTTAAAGGTGTGAAGACTGTTAGTAGAGATAAGTGTTTGCAGTACTTTAGCTCTTCTGTGCATATGGTTTATTATTAGAAAACAGTGTTCATGATGATGTTTGTAGACACACATGTAAAGAGGTCAAAATTCAAAAAACTCTTTCTACACAAGAAAACCTTGATGTCAACAATAAAACATGGCGATACTACTGCAGTGACCATTAGCATTAGCAGCTAGAACCCGGGTGAAATGTATTAATGCCCTGATACAATGTGGCTCTTCGTTTCTTCTTAGAAGTGAAGGGGAAGTGAGAATGCAGCAGAGCTCTGGACGTTTAATGAGGACCAGATGAGCCTCTGACAGATAAATAGGTAACACATCAATGAGTCTGAGATTGAACTGCCTTTGGTTTCACCTGGTCACTGAAGACCACACAGCTGTTCAAGAAGGCTCAGCAGCGGAGGAAATTCGGTATGTTGGCCAAAATCCTCAGCAGGTTCTTGGTTGACAGCAGGTTCTTGAAGAGCACAGTGACCAGCTGCATCACTGCATGGTACGGCAGCACTACTGCTATGGACCGCAAACGCCTGCAGAGAGTGATAACAACTGTGGAGAAGATCATCATGACTCCATTGCCCTCTCTGCAGAGCATCTACCATCGCAGAGTATAGAGGAGAGTTGCCTCCATCCTCTAAGACCCCACACACCCCCAACACGGACTGTTCACACTTCTGCCCTCGGAGCGGAGGTTCAGAAGTGTGAAATCCAGAACATCCAGACTCAACAACTCCTTCTTCCCCACTGCCTTCAGAACAACGATGATCATTTTTTTTGCACATCAGGTCATCCTACATATTAAGCCAGCATATGAAGCTGTAGCTCTTTTGCACACATCTCTGTTTCAAATCTCCATATTTTGTCTCCCTTTCTGTCTTTGTTTATTTATTTGTACTATTTGTATTTATGTTATATTTCTATTAATCAGCATCTGTGGGTGGACAGCAAAGAAAGAATTTCATTGCACAGAGAAATGCCTTTTTCTCTTGTGACACATGACAATAAACACTTTGAATATTGAATTAATGGTTAAGTGTCTGTTACTGTTTGAGGGGTCGGTCTGTTTGGCACAAATGACAGTAAGCAAAGTAAAAGTAATATATTCCCTAGCATACCCCTCTACCTATTTTAATCACACTGGGAGAACTAAAATTAACTTCATAAGGAAGATGAATACTGGATAAAACGTTTTGATTCACAAGATCGAACCATGAGTTAAATATATGATGGATGTTGTATAACATGTCCGTTTCATTGAAAGACCATCAAGATAAACATCCAGTGTAATGGGACCTTCTGAGCACCAGGGCGGTGTCCCGACTTCCTCGCCATACGCCTCTGGGCTTCAATGACCTCCACCTCCTCCTAAGGCAGCGTGGAACTCCGCCGCTGTACAATCAAATCAGTGTAATTTCCCTCTCTGCTGATAGGGGGCGGTGTGACCCTCCGTGCTTGCACAGTGACATGGCGGTCTGACGTAAGGAAAGCGGAAAGCTCCCTGACTCGGTGTAAACAACTGTGAAAATGTTTGTAGTTTGCCCTCCTTGAAAAAATTAACGGCATGATTTTTATGACGGCTGTGTCCCGGTAAGCTCCGGTGACTTTACATGTCGTGGTTTCTGGTGGTTGAGGTTGGGATTCGATCCCGGGTGGCTGGACTCTAGCTTCCCGTGTTCTGAACGAGGTGTTTCAGCCTCCGCCACCGAGGAGGAAGCCGTAACCCTACACATGGTGAGTTTTTAAACGTGCTACTATCCGGTCAGAGGCCGATTTTTAAGTATATTATAATATATTATGATACACTTGACTGCTACTATATCCAGTTAGCATTAGCAATGTGTTAGCTCAATAGCATGGCTAACTAAGACAATGTGACTCGTTTTAAAAACTAGTGACATATGTGTATCTCTTAAATAACTTGATGTTTTAAATTTTTACATTGAAAACATATGCCGAATTGACGTGTGGCCTTAACCATTAAATGCCTTAAGTATCGGTGTGTATATTTTACGTCTTCACTGTGAGTAGGGAAGAGAGAGAGTCAAACTGTCACATTATTGAATGAGGTTTGGTGTGTAGGTTGTAGACAGCGGCTTATCGACTTGATATCGGTAGAAAACACTGGCTCCCTGACTCCAATTTTGCACTGTAATTATTTTAGTTAGAAGTCTATAAGGTTGTTTAAAACACTGAAAAGCCATATCTGTTTTGACTTTCATTCGTCCATTGTACAACTCCAAACTGCAGGAAGAAACAGCTATTTTGATTAAATATTGCAGTAGTTGACAGTTATTTTATACATTAAGTAATACATTATTTCTTCTTCTGTCTGTGCAGCTGCAAAGCTACACTGAGAAGGAACTGGCTCTACACATGAGGAGGCATCTAAAAGAAGAACCACAGAATCAGAAACCCAGAGCATATGGAGCCCACTGAATCTGCACAAGGTTTGTCAAACTTGAGATTTAAGAGGTACTTCAAATTAGGAACATGTTCTAAATGGTCTAATCCAGGGGTGTCATCTATTTTAAGATTACAGAGGATGAGAAAATAATATTTCAGGATTTTTTCAAACTTTATTTTTAAGAGCTATTCACACCTTGTTCTTCTATTATTAGTTTTCATTTCTGTCTAGCACAGCAGCACTGCTGGAACTTGATTTCATATTATGCATGTTCAGCTAACAGATGGAATCCAGCACTACCAAACCAGAAATGTTGACCAGGCAATGACTTTCCAGTCACATTAACCCAATTTTACATCATTCAGTGGAATGATAATGTCACATTTCTTGCAGGGCAAGAGAAGCCATTGGAGGAGGGTGCAGATTTAATATTCAGCTCAAAAGGACGACAACGGAAGAAAAATCCCAAATATCTGGATTATGAAACTGATGACAAAACGAATGAACACCTTTCACCCAAAACACCTAGAAAGAGCTCAGGAAGGAGAAGAGCAGCTTCTCAGAAGACTCCGACAAAGAGTAGAAAATCCAAGGCTGCCGCACAGGACACTCCAGATGGAGAAAATGAAAAAAAAGATAAAACACCTACAGAGTGTGATGGACAAACTACAGCAGAAGTGGCTGATGAACCACTGAGAGGCAAGAAAACTCAGTCAAAAAGGACTCCTGCTAAGAAAACCCCTGCAAAAAAATGTAGCAATGCCAATGTAGACCTTGTAGATGGAGAGGGTGTTGTTAAAGATACGGTGCAGCAGGAGAATGGGACGCCAAAGCCAAAGAGGAAGTATGTAAAGAAGCAGTATGTACAACAAGTGAAGCCAGTTATTAAAGAAAAGGATGCAGAGGAACCTGAGGAGGAGACTGGACAAGGTGGCCGGCGGCGGAGAGGAGCTGCCAAAGCGTAAGATACACCTACAGTACTGAGCTGTCGCATAGCCTTAAACGTTAAACACCTTTTTTTTTTTTTTTTTATCATTTTTACATCAGACATCATCAGTTGAAACACAGAAAGTCTGAACTGTGACTCCAGACTTTGGTGATAGTTACTTTCACTATTAGTTTTGTGATAATTACACCCTAACAATCAGACTTTCATTTTTTTGTTACATGTACACTTATCCCCACATTAATTACATGCATCTATGTAGCTATATAAAAGTATACATTGCTAATTGTAAAATAATACATTTTCTGTCTTTAAAAATTTTTAAAGCCATTTTTTTTCATATAAATGGTAATATAGGCATTCAAAAATAATGTAACCTCAATCTTCCAGGGCGTTGAAGTACCTCCACAATTTGGCAAAAGACTTATTTGGGCAAACTGATGAGCCAGGAAGCGAAGATACTGGATCAGAACAGAAAACTCCCAAAGCAAGCAAAGGTACAGTGAAAGTCTCGCCGTCTCTCTTCCCCAGTGCACCAATCACAGCTAAGCATTACCTCAGACAGTTTCTGCATTTCGTTGCCTTGTACTTGTGACATGTGCAATGACAATAAAGTTGAATTCTATTCTATTCATCTTTTTACCTATTTCTTACATAGTTAAGTGAGGTTGCTACCACTCTAATTCTATGTTCACACTGCAGGCGAAAGCGCATCAAATCCGAATTTTTTGACCCTATGCGACCCATATCCGATCATGGTATGACAGTGTGAACGGCACAAATCCAATATTTTCAAATTCGACCTGGGTCCCTTTTGTATGTGGTATTGAATCCGATACATATCTGATGTTTTAGAAAGCAACTGCTCTCTGAACGGTCATGTCGCATTAAATCCGTCTCTTACGTCACTGACACAAGACAGACGCCAATTATCTGCGCCGGAGAAGACATCGTGAACGCTTCCTGGCCGTCCAGTGTAGATGTCAGTGAAACTGTTGGGAAGACAACGTAAACATTTTATTTATACTGAATAATCTGCAGATTCTCACAGAAATCTGCAACTATCCTTTGAAGCACTGCTCCTCTTTGAAACAGCAATAAGGATAACTATTAGGCCATATGTAAATAACAAAATAACTTAAAGCAAAATTGGGGAACGTAAAGTCCGAAACAAGTCTTTATATTAAGGGCCATCAGTCAAGCAGTACTGTTTGGTCTGGGTCTAAACAGAGCATGTTGTGTGTGACATCTTCTTTTGCGCCGCTTTGTGGGTTCACACTAGAGCACGTTTGCTATCACATTTTATTTGTAGTGTGAACAAGCAGACAAAAAAATCAGATTTGATCAAAAAATCGGAATTGAGCATTAAGACCTGCAGTGTGAACGTAGTCTAAGACCTAAGACCTGTAGACGTGTCTCCTGTCTGAAAATGGGCCGCACTTCAAACGGCAGGAGTTGACTAACTGGCATAGATGTAGCTATATTAATGAACTTGTCTGAACTTGTTTAAAGTGTTGTGTCAACATTGCATTTCATGTCAGTTGTTAGTTGTGTTTTGCAATCTCACAAGTTACATGCAGTGTAAAATTTCATATAGCAGTGCAGAAAAATTCCTTCTTCTGCCAATATCAGTAAAGATCTCTGTGCACCGTAACTTAAATCCCTCGTTCTATTCCTGCAGTGGGTAAAGGCAAAAAGAGGAAACATCCTGACAGTGATGCAGCAGAAGACGAAGACTTTGTGCCAGATAATGATGAAGAGGAGGATGCAGAGGAGATGGAGGATGAGGACGAAGAAGCAGCATATGACTCAGACCTCGACTCCAATTGTGACAAACGTGGAAAAAATCCTCCAGTTTATTACGTCAACAATAACAACGTCAGTGGTTTTCTCATTTTAACTTGATGGCACAGTTACTGGTTATGACCTCATGCAGTGCACTAGGGTACATTACTTCAGTACGGTATCTCCATATCAGTCTAATACAGAAAGATGAATCTGCTTGATGATGGTAATTAAAAGTTAAACTGTTGTGATTTGTCAATACCAACCTGGGCTTATAAATAGGAGTCATTATAATGAGCACTTTATATCAAACATAAATCATCAGATTCTGCGTTTTTCTGAGACTAAACCAAAGTGCAAACTATTATTGATTAAAATAACCAGAACATTTTAATTTCTAAGTTTAATGCAGCTGCATAGAAAAGAAGGAAGAACATGTGCATAATGAGTTCATCCTGTCTCCTTCTGTCCTGCAGACATGCTCGTTTGTCAAAGCCCAAAATGGACTTAACACCCCTATCATGAAAACTGCTTTGGAGAGTGCAAAGACCACCAAGAAATTGTAAGTCGCAGTCAGTTAACAGTAATGATTTGTTTTCGTGAAGTACCAGTGAACATTGTCCTTTTACTGTTAGTTCATACATCCGTTTTTGTGACGACATACACAATGAGTCTTGAAGTGCAAATGACACTGGAATATTTGAACATTCAAACCCTTTATTTTGAAAGCTTCTTAAAGTCAAATTTGGGGTTATCTCAAAATTTCAGCTTACAAAACGTCACCTTTTTTGGTTGATTTTGTTGAGGTTTTTTCAGCATTTTGAATAAGTAAGTCTCAGACTGACTAACTGCTTGTTTGTTTGTTTATTTAACCATGTGTTTGTTGATGTTTGTGCTTGCAGTCGGGAAGAGCACTACAGCAGCTGGGTGTTTCCAGAGTGGGTGCCCTCCACCAGGGATTGGGTCCCTGTCCCACAAAGGTAGTTTCTGTTGCTTTGTTCGTTTAATACAGTCGAATCCAGTTTTAATTGAATAACTCATTAAGTTTTATTTGGATATACCTTTTTATTTTCTGTGTTACAACGACCGTACCCAACACTCTTTACCAAGTAACTTTGAATGTTTTTTTTATTTTATTCACTGAAATTCTAACACAAAAGTCATACCAGAAAGTCTTAGCTGCAATTGTGTTTATCTGACTGTTTCATGCTTAGTTATTTAGTTTGTGTTGGGACATCTGTCCACTTTTTTTGACTGAAGGTGGGCAGGAGCCTCTGCCAGCTGACAGTGGCAAAGACAGGCTGCACCCTGGACAGGTCACCACTCAATCACAGGGCCAGACAGACACAGACAGCCATGCACACCTAGGATCAATTTAAGATGACCTGTTAACCAGAGTGTCACCTGCCTTTAGTCACATTACTGAATCAATCAGTTGTCACATGGTCATGCAATGAGATATGCTGTATATGATTTCAAGTAACCCAATGAGGTTCAGACTATTTTATACTCTTGGCAGGAACAACACAGAGAGACTCAAAGTCACATTTAAAATTTCCCATATCTTTGAATTGTGGGCAGAGACTGGTGTGAACAAAAAAAGACCCCAAACTGTGGATTTGAACCCAGGACCTTCCAGCTGTGAGGCAACAGTGCTAACTACCACACTACCATCCTGCCCTCATAGTTGCATTATATCCATTCATTAGTTCAAATAAGGCTTTTAAACTACATAGGAACAATAGTAAGGAGTCATCCAAATCTGATACTTTATCCTAATTAACCCTTAATCGACTGGGATTCAAACAGGCCTAATGGACTTATTTTGTCATTTTGGCTGTAAAATGACAAAATAATTCTCATCTTTCAGGAACAATTTTAATTTTGTCACTAGCCTATAATGAGTGAAAAGTAAGGTCATGTGAGTAAAAGTGGTAACATTTAGGCGGAGCTGATTTTTTTTATACACTGATTTCCCCCCAAAAGCTTGTCATCGTTTCTTTCTGAAACAATTTGAATTTTGTCTCAAACAATATCGCTAAGAGAATTCTGGTCATTTAAAAAGCACTTGATAAATAAAGGGTTAAACAATAAAAAAACAAAGGAACTGCCAGGAGGGGTTGCTGAGATGATGTCTGAAAAGTGTGGCTCCAAGAAGAAGCCAGTCTAGTGAATAAAGAAGAGCCATCGCAGGACTATGTACCTGCGCTGGTCTGGTGGCTTCATAAAGGGAGCTGGACAAGGGATGTGTTATTCTGGCTGATATGCACTTAAGTTATTAAAATTCTGTGTGTTCTGCTTTCATTTAGTGATTTGGAGAAATATCTGCCTCAGACGCTTCGCTCAGCTGCTTTCAAAGTGTCCAGAGAAGGACTCAACAAGGAGGAAGCACCTCTGCAAAGACTCAAAAGGTGACAGTGATCACGGTGTAGTTACCCCCGGTTGATGATTTCCCTCAGATATGTCAAGAACAGTTCGATTGAGACATAACTGCTGCTAATACATTTCCAAAGAAAACCTCTTTTTTGTATTTGTTTGTTAGTAAAACTCATACCTATAAAAATATGTAATTGTGATCATTTGCAGTTTGTTCTACATGGTGCCGATTTTTTGGTGGCTTTTGTAGGCGAGGGGGAATAAAGCATTTGGTGTCTTTTTTGTTTTCATTTTTTTCTGTTAACTGGCAGGTTCGAATCTATTCCCCCTCACCCAGAACGCTGGGACATGATGCTGTATGCAGGTGGACCAGTGTGGGCTCTGGAGTGGTGTCCAACACCTGATGGTGCTCCTGCTACCCAGTACATCGCTCTGTCCTGTCATCAACGCATGGATGATTTTCACTACGTCAACAAAACATCCACAGGAACTGGACTCATTCAGCTGTGGGATGTGGGCAAACTGAAGTATGGCAACAGGTACAAATGAAATGTGCAGAGTGGGAAATCACTGATAAAAATATTATATTATAAAAGCTTATTGTCTGTCAGTCTCTTGACTGATTGACTAGTTTGAACTACTTCCAGAAAAAGTCCAATAGTCCTCTGTAAACAAACTGTCTACATCATAGATGGTAGTGAGATGTTTCCAGAACTTATAAGAAATTTGTCTTTGAAACTTCAGCCTTTTTATATTATGTTCTCTTTTCTTTTACCTCTGTCCAAACAGACCAGACTCCAAGCCAGTTATGGTCTATAGTTTGGCCCAGGATAAGGGCTTCGTCTGGCATCTGAAGTGGTGTCCTGCTGGCGGCTGGGAGCTTCCCACCTGTGCCAGAAAGGTAAGATGTTTTTCCTATGAAGTGTCTTAGCTTTTAGCTGATATTGAAATGATGAAATCTTATAACATCCTAACGTGTTATCAATCCCTCACACTGAAGGCTCCATTCTTACCCAGACTGGGTCTTCTGGCAGTGGCCACCTCCACTGGGGTGGTTACCATTTACAGCATACCCCACCCTGATGCTCTGCACTCCAACATCACTCAGCCAAACTCTGGTAAGACTGATCATAACTGGCTGTGATTTCCCCTACACATTTTTTTTTGCAGCATTTATAACTGCGCCATCTAAAGTATTTTACTTGTAAAAATGAAGCGTGTCCTGTGTTCAGCAGAGGGCACTGTTGGCTTTCTAAAGTCTGAAGTCAGCATGTTGGGTGTCTATTTTCTCCTGTATCCTATGAGGACATAGGGATGCACTGAAGCAGTGCGTTACTGGTGGTTTATAGATCAGCGGATCACTATAAAAACACTGGATGTCTTTATACCTGTTTATTTATGAATTAGCTTAGCTCATTTTCTTTGTTCGCACGCCAAATCAGAAGGTTTGGCATGTAAACGCTGTCTTTGGATGCACCATGCAGCCCTTGGATTGTTTGTGATCACAGTAAAGCTCTAAGGCCTGTACTGTGAAACAGAATTCGGGGCTCAGGATTAAACCTGAAGTTGAAGCTTCCTCTGTGAGTTTTCAGTTTGATAAAGGTGACTCCCCGTGGTATCTTGTCCTGTAGACCTGACCTGCTCCTGATAACAGGTGAACATATAAACCCACCACCTGCTGGCTAGTTTATTTGGATAATATTGGCACAATTGTTTCATGATATCACAGGATTTTTGAGTGAGTCTGGACCCTTTTCCTGAGAAACTTGTTCCTTTTGGCTGAAAGCAGTTTCAAAGCATCAAATTTTTCTGTTTGTCTTTATAAACTCAAATAGTCATATAAAAACAGTCATTAAAGAACCAAATTCTTGTAGCCCATTCTAGATCTAATATAAGATTTCCAAGTAACCCTACAGGTTTAAGTTTTGTGTTTACACTTTTTCCTGTAGTTGCTCCTTAGACCGTTAAATGCCACCAGTGTTGTCGCTTAAAATGTTAGACCTTAAAATTATTAAAAAAAAGGCTTTGGAGTAACACATTAATCCCATCAACCTGATCCTTAATTACTGAAAGTTTTTTTCCTCCACCCTCCTGGCTTTGGATGAGTTTAATCAAATGTACAGTCATAGTATGTTGTTTGTGTTGGGTAATATTCCCGTCATGCCCGGTTTGTGTTTATGACCTAGTACCAATCTCAGCTCTTTCAATAATATGCTCACAGGAAAATGTCACGTGACCTACATGATTGCAGCTGCTAGGCTTAGTGATGCCAGGTAATAAAAATCTATCCTGGTTATTTTGAACTTGCTTTGTATTACAGATCTGTTGTAGCAGCATTGTGGTAAAAGAAAGTAAACATTTTCTCACCAAGCAAAGTCAAAGAATTTGTGAAAATATATTATTTATCTTAGTAATTAATTATCTTTATCGTCACTTCTTGAGTTCTTTTGCAGTGTATCACTAAGATCCAGAATATTGACTAAATCAGTCTCATATTTCTGACAGTGTAATAACACGTGTTCTGTGGGTTCATCATCTCCACAACAGTCAAATTTCCCTGTATGTTGTTTCCCTACTATAAGCAATGTGCCAGTAAACATGCAGGGCAGGGCAAAGACACAGGGCCCACAGCAGTCTTGCTCTTTGGAGCCCCGATATGAGTTTTCACTCACCCCACTATGGTTGGGTTGCCAACAGAAAATCCTCATAGAGACTCAAAAAGGCAAAACTGCTGTGGGTCCCACATGGGCTTGTCTACATGAGCCCCATACAGGTTGTCTATTTGCAAGACAAAGGTGTCCTGCCCTGTGTGTAAAAAGAAAAGAAAAAAATGGCATTGCCATCTTTGTCAAGCTCAGATTTGTCAGTAAAAATAATGCAAACCTCACAACAAGGAACCACAAGCCACTGAATATTTGACAGCTTGCCAAAAAGGATCAAAGTAGGTGCCAATTAATTTTCTATTGAACAAATAGCTAATGAGAACTTGCAGCTGTAGTCCGTTACACACATTTAAACACAGCCTGATGAACTCAAGCACGAGTATGTAATCAATCAAATAGCACCTTATCCATCATATCAGACGTGACCCTCATTAAACGTGGTAGAGCTTGTGTTTGACAAAGCAACAGTATCCACAAGAAACCAGCCTCATGCAGCTTTCACAATGGCCACAGAACACACACAGAACAATGTCCAACAGTGTAAGTACATGATGACATTATGGATGGAGGAGCCTGTGGTCCAGTCTATTCAGATCACTGCGCTGTCAGTCGCCTCTGGGGCTCTGCTGATAGAAGACGATACAAACGAGATTAATGACGAACTTATCTGCCACATCCATCATAGAGAGAAACCCAGTTATGTCTGCATGTGAGTGTGTTTATCAGTCAGTATCCTCAAAGCGGTTCAGGCTAATCTGATTGAACAAAACACCATTGTGAGATCATGAGTATAGCATACACCTTACATATAAATACTCACATTTTTATGTTATATCTCAGTGGATGCAACCTTTTTAGATCCCATTAAAGCTTATCTTGTAGGGCATGTCTTCCCAGTTCCACAGTGTAACAGAAGCTTTGGGCTCATAGGGACAGCTACTTTGATACTTTCACTTTGTTATCTGAAAATGTTGCCATGTTTGATATGAATATCCACCACATTAACACCATATATGAAATAAAGCACATTAGGTCCCCTTTAAATCACCTGATCTCTCCACTGAAAGACATGCACATTAAATTCTTCTACATTAACATTAATTAAAAGGACTAAATAAAATAATTTTGCATCATACTTTTGGACTTGGAAGCCATGACTGGGTAAAAGTATGAAGCCTACATCATGGCCACAGCTTGAGAATTCTTCAAAAGGTTTCCTGAAATTGGGCCTTTTTATGATTCAGTTTTCCATCTCACTAGGTAATGGCTTGCATAGGTGACCGTACAACTGCCTGTACTCTGATCATTATAACATTATGTGCACTGTATTATACATGGTTTGGTTTTGAAATTAAGAAGTATTTCAAATGCCTCAGTTTGGACATAAAAAGATAAATGAGACCCGACATTTCTGGTCTTAATTTTTTCTCATTCCCTCGTGGACTCGAGTTTCCATTCTGTTTTGTAGCCATGGATCATTGGGCTCAGTTTCCAGAGGGCTACTCCATCAGCCCCCTGCTTGCAACCAGAGGTTATAGTTATTGGATTGAAAGGTTACTGAGTACCCACATTTGAAGATGGCTGCACACACAAACTACTACTGCAAAAGCTTGTTTAGCTTACACTGAGAAATTTTCATAAATACAGCAATCATAACATTTGTTTTCCTTCAATATTTCTTAATGTAATGAATGTCTTAATGTTGCCACAAACCCTATTAAGGAAGACTAGGAGATGAACAGAATCTTTATAATCCTGTATAGCTTTGCTGAAGCTTGATGACCTGAGGAGAAATATGCTACACGTAATCTGTACTTGTTTGCAATTGACTACCTAGTGCCAAGATCAACCTTTTTATTTTAGCATACTTATAGTTAGATTGGAAAAATCTGAGTTCACAGAGCTGATAACTGTAGACACGTGAAACCTATTTGGTTTAGTAAAGCCAATGTAATATTGAACTTTGTGTGGCATCTGTGGAGGCCTCTAGCACAGCCTGGCTGCATATCTTATTTGAGCGATATAACACAACCTCAGTGTGTTTTCTTATCTGGAAGAAGCAGTAGCATAAATGCAGAAGAGGGAATTGGAACTAATTTCTGTGGAAAGTTGGGCCTTACAGCTGCATGGCCATACCTGCAGTTGTATACCTGTCAATTAATATCAACTATATCTTTAATAAATGTACACATGTGTTATAGTGTAGGTCTCCTGAAAGGTTCCTTCTGGAGGTAAACCTGGTTTGCAAGGTTGTTAGCAGAATCAGGTAACTGTCATTTATTTTATCTTTCTCACATAAAGCACACAAGAGGAGATTTCATCTCAGATTTGATTTTATGTTTAGTTTTGGGAAAAGTGCTCCATAAGTGGAGCCATTGGGTGGCATGCTGTGAATACTCTGGACTGTTACATGCACTATGCTCATAGTGTCATAGATTTGTGGAACTGGACATAAGTGAGGTTCAGAGATGTGCATGTAGAATATGACAGCTTAAAGACTGTTTGTTCCTGTCATTTGGCGCCAACATTTTCAAAAGAACAAACTGAATGTATAGATGAAAGTGATGTTACCTCGGTCTTGAGAATACAAAGAATAGACATTCAAGTGGGACAGTACCTTCATTTTTCTTTTCTTAACAGCACTCACAAGGTTATAATAGCTCTATTTTGTAAGCTGCAAAATCTGCCCCAACTTAAATGCTAAACAGACTAAGATGAGTCAATATTAAAATCACACACCATATGTCTCACATGTAAACTCAGATAAAAAGCATAATTTGGTCATATTATCTCTGTTCAGTTTTTTCTCAGTGACCATCACCTTTGCTAACAGCAACTGCAGCACCACAGTCCTGAAGCATTGACAATTATTCATTTAATCGTGTGATTGTAAGCAACAGTCTAACATTTCTTGCAGGTTTTTCGCTAATAATTTTGCTGTCACATGTGGTCGTTTTTTCCCCTGACATTAAATTTATTTTAAGTAGAAAAATGGCTAACATCAGCGCGACTGTTTTTCAAAGGCAAAGTGTCACTTTTATGCTGCTGTGCCTGCAGTGAGGCGGGGACGACATGGAGAGGTACATTTAACCAAGTGAAAAAATACCAGAGAATTTCTTAATAGCTTCTTTGAGGCTGACATGTCGAGCACCGACTGAATGCAGATTAGTTATCCTAGCTTACATGACCAAAAGTGGATATAATATAATATAATCTTTCTATGCAAGGGTTGAAGGTGAAATTGCCTTGGACAGGGTTAAAACTGTGTGTGTGTGTGTGTGTGTGTGTGTGTGTGTGTGTGTGTTCATCCTGACCCCTTAGTGCTGTTTGCAACAGATAATTATAAATGGCTTTTGTGTATCCAGTCACCAGAATGAATGAGCGCGTGAATGAGAGGAGGAGGCTGTTAAAGCTCCAGAATTGGAGGGCGGGGGGTGGCTGGAGGTTTTGAAGGAGGGGGTAGTGTACGCACATAATTTACAGCACCATTCTCCATCAGACAAGGATCTATAATTGAAATGACAAAGAAGATGCATCACCGAGCCAGTTGTTAGTGTTGGAAGCTATGAATTTTAGGCCTACTAGATGACACTTCTTGTATCCTTACTCTGTCAGTCATCAAGGACTTACTTGAGACTGGACAGGGAAGAAGATGGAGGAGGTCACACAGAGGCCAAGTTAAAGTGTGCAAAATTGCAAAATACTGTAATTTTTTTAAATTAAAGATGAATGCTTCTAAAACTAGGTTAGAAATTTTTAAAGAGTCCAGTCTTAATATTGTTCTTTAATTAATATAAAGCAAGTTGGAACATTTCATATAAATAAGATTCACTGAGTTGGCAATGTCAGAAAACATGGACACCACCACACATTTCTTTTTCCCCTTTCAGTTGACTCTCGTCAGCATCGACACTGTTTATCTCCTTACAACAGACTAACCACCATTTATCCTCAGCGGCATATTTTACTGTCTTTAAGCTCTGTCTGTGGCTGCTCCTGTTTCTGCTCAGCTAACACAGCTGACCGGTTAGACACAGTCACTCAGTCAGCCTTTATCTCTTTGTTTATCAGGTGAAAAAATTTAAGATAATCATTATTAATTGCACCATAGTCAAAACCAGAGTTAGTCAAACTCTTAAGTGCTTTGTGCAGTGGATCTTAGGGCAGGGCCATATTATACCGTTCACGGTAATACCGGTATAATGTTAGGCAAC